TCATGAATGTCCCGTAGGCCATTTCAGAATCAGATAATTTGCCGAGCGGCGAATGAGAGTCTAGAGACAGGGTAGATGGGTCTGTACCCAAACGAGAGAGCCCAGCAAGGCAATGTACATCAAGCAAAGTTACCGACATAGGAGAAAAAGGGAAAAAGAAGCAGTTGGTCGAAGATGACCAAAAACAGGACAATGCGCCAATTAGTTCCCGATTCACATGGTAGTCGAAACAACTAAGACGCAAAGCATCGTGGATGGAAAGGGTATTCCAAAGAGAACCCTTAGAAGGAAGAAGACGAAGGTACCATTGATAGAACTCAGAATCAAAATCAGAGAAAGCCCTAAGGCGAGAAGGACGAGAATACCACTGGTACGCCAAAATAGATGACTCATGGATGGGAAGTACCTCAATCTGATGACGAGGGAAGCGGTTTGACAAGCATTGTGGAACGAAAAAGTGATTGTGAGCAGCAGGGCCAAGGATATAAGAATCTTCAAAATCATTCTGTACAGAGAACAGATGAGATCCTTCTTTGAAATTATCAGAATCCCGGAATAGATAATATCGGTCGAGGGCATCTGATGCAGAAAAGGAGAAAGTTTGGTCCTTGGAAGCTTTGGAAGCCATGGATTTTAGTAGAGTGTCGGAAAAGATTGCAGAGATTCAAAAAGGTGAAGATGAAGAAGAACGAAAAAGGAACGATTTTTATAGAAAGTGTTTTGGAGACGAAAAGGTAGGCGCGCGAAGCAAGGTGACGAAGCGACGTCAAGAATAGGTACTATTTCTTTGACATTTAAAAGAATTAAAAGTTCTTTTAATTCTTTTAAAAGGGGGCATTTGTTTACACCAAAATCGGCATGGATGTCAAGTCGGTTTAATGTCAAAATTCGACGGACAATGGAGCTCAGTCGTCTACTGAAGTACGTTTGGATAAAATTCGGGAATGTAGTAAGCGTGAATGGCACCATGTCCCGAATTCTGTGATTGGAGAGAATCGGTAATTTTACCGAAACATAAAAAGTTTACATTTCGGGAAATGTTGAAGCTACTGAAAACCGACAACAATGCAAAAACACTCAAGCTTATATGCACTTTAGTTTCCTCTGCACTTTTACTTCCTGAATTTACAGCTTCCTGTAGCTTTAGTTAACCTTCAAGTCCTTTACAGCTTTCATAGGAGTATTGTAACATAGTTAGAAATTTTGTTGATCTCAGATCCATTTTTCAATCTACTCAATTTCTACCCGTTTCCATATAACCCTGCACTACACTCTGTTTTTCGCCACGATTTTCCTAGAAATCAAGCCACATAACCTACTTTAATAAAAATCGAAAATCGAAGTTTCGGTGAAGGATATTCCTCGTCGTAAAACGAGCGAATAGGTTATTATCTTTCTTAAGCCAATTATGCCATCGAGCTTCTTTCTCGAGCAGGACTCACTAAAGACAAGGTTACTCCCACTCCTATTGAGACCAATGCCAAGTTTGATGCCAAAGGCAGGAGTTCTCTTTTGAATCCCATACTCTATCGGCAGTTCATGGGCAGTTTTATATCTTCCCCTGTTGCTCTTTCTCACATTGCTCATGCTATTTATATTGTCGGTTAGTTCATGATAAAGGCACTAGCAACTCATTTTGCTGCTGTCCTTTAGGTTGTCCGCTAAGTCAAGGATATCTTATCTGATGCTTCCAATAAATGCGTTGAACAAACCATCCCAATTATGCGCTCAATTCAATACATAGTGACCATGTTTTGACGCTCTCACATCTACTAATTGGTGTAGTTGAAATTTATTTTCTCCGGCTTCTGAAAAAGACATTATCTTGCATAATTATTGACTGGCCGACACTGTGTAGGTGCTGTTCTATGTGTTATAAAAAGAAGGAAATGCGAGTAGAGCACCGAGGAAGGAAAACCAAAATTTAATAGGGAAAATGACGCAAACAATCACTGAACTTTGACCCAATATGCAATTTGATCTCTAAACTTTTAATTTGTTCAATATAGTCCCTAAACTTTAGCCTAATATTCAATGTGGTCCATGAACTTTTAATTTGTTCAATGTGATACTTGAACTTTTGGTAAATGTTTAATTTAGTCCATGAACTATACGAAAATGTCCAATGTAGTCCTTCCATTAATTCAAGTTTAGGGACTATATTGAACATTTTCATAAAATTCAAGGACCACATTGAACAAATTAAAAGTTCGGGGACCATATTGAACATTAGGCTAAAGTTCATGGACTACATTGAACAAATTAAAAGTTCAGGGACTCTTTTTATTATTATCCCAATTTAATACTAAGGCTCTGCTTATTTCGTGGAAAATAACTTTTAGGAAAATATTTTTCGAATTTTTCGGCGTTCGGTGCACGAAAAAATAAATTAGTCAAGAAAAACATTTTCCACCAATGGAAAAAACACATTCAAAAGTGAGAAATTTTTTTTTCCGATTTTCAGAAAGGGAAAAACATTTTCTATCTTCTTTCTTTCAGCTCTAAACAAAGCACTTTCTTTCACCAAACACACTCTTTTATTTTTATTGTTTCTATTGTTCTTTTTTTTAAATGGAGTTTTTAATTATTTTTAATTTTTAGTTTCTTTTTTCCTTTTCTTTTTGCTTCTACCTCAGCCGGTCGCCGGCCATTGCGGCGGCCGACGATCGGCCATGGGTGAGCTCAAGCCTCACTGACCTCTAGCGACCTCGAGCCTCGCCAACCTCTCCCAATCGGCCTCAGGCGATCTCGACCTCGCCTGTAGCTGGTTGTCGTCCATCGAGGAAGAAGCAAAAGAAAAAAAAAATAATAATTAAAAAATTCAAGTTTTTGGTAATTTTCCCTAGAAAATCAATTCAGATACCAAATTGTGAAAAATATTTTCTAATTTATTTTCAGGTTTCAGCCAAACACTAGAAAATATTATCATTTTTCAGGAAAATGACTTTTTAAAAAATATTTTTTAGAAATATTGCATTTTCCGTGAAAGGAACGGTTTACTATGATCCCCCCACAGTGGCGGGACCATATCTAATATTTATTGCATCTGGCCCAACTACCTTTAACCGACACAACAAACAAAACTATACCTTGGTTTGAACCTTTTGACATGTTTTTTTACGCCTTTTTAACAAAATTTTGAGGTAGTTTTATGATTGGGATTATTTGCTCAAAATCCCTCGAAATTTTGGTAGTGTTTTGTAAGTCTCCAAATTTTGAAAGTTGCAGATGACCCTCTTAAACTTTGGCACCGTTGTATAATAGCGCTCGAACTTCGACAAGTTTTAGATCAACTCCCTAAACCTTGACTTTTTTGTGGTTACTAGTGTTTCTGTCTACATAACCGTTAAATGTCGCTTGAAGATGGGACTTATTTACCCAGATGATCTCTATTATATGGTTGATGAAGTTAAAAAAAAAATAGAGAGGGTGCATAGTTGTTGATGTAGCTAAGAAAATTTTGCAGAGGTTATTTTGGAGAAGAAAAATGAATTACTCCATGGCAACACTTAAGGGCTATGTTGAAGGAAAAACTACCACCACAACAAAAATCAAAGTTCAAGGGGGTAAAACGTAAACTTTTCAGAATCGAAGGCAACTGTATAACGATGCCAAAACTCAAAAGAGGGCTTTGATTAATGACATGAAAGTTCGCCTGTGATAGGTTCTTGAATACAGTCCTAAAATAAAGAACAAAATCACATATTCAGAATCATAGAAAAAGGAAAAATACATTGCAAGAATAGAGAGTAGATTGAGAAAGGAGGGGAAGACACCAATTCTTGGAATAACCAATATTAATCAATTCAAGATATACAACTTGAAAGGGTGTCAAAATATTGACACGCTGAGCTTAATTATGTGTTTCTGATATATCTTGTTTTCTATTTAGTATATATGATGGAAATAAATGAATGTGTAACTGAATAGTTTCTAACAGAGACATTATAGTTTGACCATTATTGTACTTCTCATTTATGGATCATGTTAAGTAGAGAGCTATAGTTGTAGTACATAGAAGGGACTACTATGACTCACATTAGTTTTCTTTTCTTAATTGTGATTGTCATGTGGTAGCCAATTTAAGAAAGGTTTTAACATAATATTGTTGTGCATATTATGGTCTTTATTAAACCATGAAAGGAATGTCATATGGGCCAAGCGGGAGAATGTAAGAATAATTGTGGCACAAGTGATCTTATTAATTAATGGTTTAATAATTATTTAAATGCTATAAATAACCCTTTTGGCTAAGAAGACATCCGACTCTTCTGAAATGGAATGCGCTTTGATGGAAGGCACCTATTGATAGACTGTATAAATAGAGTCTGATCCTTTCTCCACCCGTAAAAAAGAACGAACGGTGTATTTTATCCTTCATCAGATAAGATACGTAAAGAGAAAAGTGGGTTAAGGGAGAGAAATCGAATTTCTACGTTTCTTCTATTTTTACAACAATTATCATCAAGGACAACGCTATGAATAAATGTATGTCTTTGTCCATTTTATTGTGAAAATCATGAAGATTTAAGATCCTGGATTTCAAAAAACAATTTGCATAAAAGAATTACATTATTGCTTATATTGTGGGGACTCGAGCATAGACCCGTTCAGTTCGATTAAGGGGCCGTTTCACCGAACAAATTAAGAGATTAAACCAAATCAAATAATGTGTAGGAGTCGATGAATCAAACCTTGGGTTTTATGAGACAAGACAGAGGTGTGGTTTGAGAACTGGGATCAGTCGGAGGGGGCCAACCCCCGCCCTCTTCCAACAATGGGCCAAATGTGGAGCCGAACTTGGAAATTAAGCTATCAACTGAACAGCCTGATGGTCTTGTTTCAAGACCACCGTACTTGGATTTTTGAGTCCTAAACAAGTACAACGCCAAATCACGAGCATTTGCATAACGAAAGAGAAACCCACCTCCTCCCCCCACCCCAAAAAATAAATAGCTTGGGGCTCGCCTACAATTTCCATATTAGTGCCTTGATTATGATTAATTACAGGAACATGTAGTAATATGACAGGAAGCAAGAATGGCTGTCCATCTTGACAAAGTCTATCTAACAAGATACTGGATACGCGGATTCTAGAGCCGATGCTCGTAACTACCGGTTGAACAAGATTCTGAGTCAAAAAGACACTATTGCATTAGCTTCATATATCATTTGTAACACTTTTCCCCGGGATCTTTTCCTTGTGATGCTCTCTTGTGTACTTGCGGAAACCCCACCCCAAAACCCCCACCCGCCCAAGAAAAAAAAAACACTTTCTTTTTTCCTTCTCAACACCCAAAAATAAGACAAAAACACTTAAAATGCTCAATAATATGCTGCTACAAGAACATGACTGGACTCGCAGAGCAAACCCTGACTTCAGGTGTTTCAATGCGCTCTAAGAACTGAGCAAGGCCGACATTGAGAAGATGTAAGACATCTTTACCATGTTCTCATTTGGCAGCATCAAGAACCAGGTTCTGCTGTTTTCGGCTAGCCGTGGTTTCCAAATCTTCGTGATACAGCTGCATCAGATAATGTATCCCACACCTACAGATTCCCAACCGCATAGAAATCATTAATAAACCATGAATGGAAAATCGCGAGGTAAAATGTTGAATGTGGAAATGGAACCTACAGATTCCCAACCGCATAGAAATCATTAATAACCATGAATGAAAAATTGCAAGGAGGAAAAATGTTGAATGTGGAAATGGAGAAGATTTCCACTTACTTCAAGTCTCCCCTTTGAACCTCCAATAGCAAGTAAAAAGGGACTATCCTCCGAGAAGGAAACAGAAAAGACAGCACCCTAGAACAATGACAAAGCTCAGTATTCTGATTGTCTACAACTGTTAATTGGCATGTGCATAATGCTTCAGAACATCAATATGGGAATAACATATGGTCTCTTACAGCTTTTGGGTTTCTCGAAGCAATACACGAAGGTTGGTTATTGGACAGATCCCAGAGTTTTACCTGCATTTGGTCAATGAACATACATATATAAGTACCATCCACCAGGAAAGATCAAGCCAACAATATTGCATGAGGAACCAAAAGATACCATCTTATCTGTTGACCCTGTCGCGAGAAGCTGAAGTACATGCAGAAGCAATAGTCATTATAATTAGTTTAAGAAATAAAGTTCAGAATGTGCATGGAAAAACATAGGAGAAGGAACGTCGTGGTTTGTACATTAGGTGCCAAACGATTGTATGAAATTGTGCTGGCAGCTTTCTCATGTGCATGAAGAGTAAAACTTGCTCGTGACTCGGAGGCAGAATTAGATGTAGCAGCACGTATATCGAATCCTCTAATGGTGCCATCTTCAAGGGACACCTGAAAAACCCAATTAGTTTATAATTAAATATTGCTTAAGCTTTCCAGCGAATCCATAATATACATGTCCAAGGAGCATCCTTTCAGATGCCTTTTTACTTGTAAAAAAAACAATGAAGACTTTCACTGGTTCATAACACACCACAAAGGAGTGTTCAGAATGCGGATCCCACGCCAAACTTTCAACATCTGCCGTTACAGACCATCTATATCCAGAATGTGAAGGTATTCTTCCATCCTTCTGCAATTTATAAATGATGGAAAACGTATCAAAATCTCGTAGACATACATTATGCAATGTTAATAAGCAGTATAGTAGAGTATGCAAAGATCCTGTCATGAGACACTGCCATAGCCGTACAATCTGTGGCATGAGCCAAACAGAGATAAAGCCCTTACACAAAAGTTTGATGTCAATGCTCAGCAATCGTTCTAAACTTTAAAACAGAAAAAGGATACAAAAAAAAAATGGAGTCCAGAGACATATTCCTAACCACAAATCGAGCAATAAAGGGAATAAGGTCCGTAAGACCCTAAATGATGTCACAGTCAAATTTGATTCGAGAATAAAAATTCAATAGTCTAAGTCATCAGTCAATGTTTGAGGTAGGCAAAAATACATGAAACTGAATAGTATTAATAACAGAAATGCCACAGTAGCGACTGATGGGGAGCCTCTGAATAATACAATTCGTTACCATGACTACTGAATGATCAAAAGATCCGCTAAGAAGAACTTGTGGAGCGTGATGATTCCATGCAACTGCTTGAACCTGTCCATGTTAGAGGAGAAAAGTCAAATCAAGACTGAATGCAAACAAGTTTACATACCTAAACAGCCAAAAAAAGAACACACAGAAGACAGACAGACAAAGGCTTCTCAAAATAATGCATTTGCTCAAATGTCTCTCAATTAGTGATTGAACTCACTCCAAGATTTTATGCACATCCTTGTGTGCGTTCAAGCTTTGTTTAATAGAGTAATCATCAACATCATACAACTTCTAAGATACAAGAAGGAACTTCCCATCTTCTGAATTTATAACTACATCTCAAATCCTCGACACTTCAATACCAGGTCGTAAGTAACATGCATATCCCCTGGTTCTTTCTATGAAATACCATCATGTAATTACCCTCATCTATACCATGCAAAAGGTCCTTTCCTGATGAACCAGAGATTTTACCATAACAGACTGGATCTTAGGATGAGCAGAAGCTGAAGGTTCATCATACAAAAGAATGAAAACCATACATTAGATGAGATGATTTCTTGCCTTGTCGGTGTGGTGTTCCATGGTAATATTGCATTTTCCAGCTGCAACATCCCAAATTTTGACTTGCCTGTCAGCACTTGCACTGGCAAGTATATTCCTGTTTGAACATTTGCATATCAGTCAAGGATATCATTAAGCATGGAGAATTGGAAGAAGAAACTACAAAATTACCAGGACCAAGAGAATAAGTAACAGTTTAAACAACCTGAACTCCTTGTTCCAAGCAAGGCCAAGCACTGAATCTGTGTGACTACCCTCCTTGTACTTAATCGATGCCTATAAATTGAAAGTGACAACATTCATAAAGGGAACCAGCAGCCTATGACAGGACTTGTCAAAAGCTTTTCTCAATAACACAGAGACATGCATGACACAATAACATAGAGATATGCATAAATTATGCTCTCTTATATATTTTCATTATAGTCAAGGAAAACTCATTAAGATAGAGTATGTGTACTGGCATTAAATGCTAGACATTCCAATAAGATAGTAGTAGCTGACCTTCTTTCCTTTCTTCTTTTTCTTCTTCAACTCTTCTCGACCGCCTAATACAAGACATGGTTCTACAGCATCAATCTACAAAAATATGGATGAAAACTCAAACAGACAGCTTAAGCAAATCAAATGCAAAAACAATTAGTGATCTATAGTTAACATACAATATCAAGATCCCAAATCTCAATGGCAGGCTCCATAGAGCCAACAGCAACAAAATTTCCTGCCATCGCATAGCGTAATGTGAACAAAAATGAGTTAATAATACATAAAACCAAAATATATTCCAATATTAAAACAATGAGGCAATCATCTTGATCAGAAAAACATACTGATGCAAGAACCTAGCTATATTTAGGAACCTAAGGTACATTTGAAACCCTTAATGCACTTCCTATTCAATTAATCTTTCTTAAAAGGGCCAAAATCAAACCTTTGTCTCCACCTTTAAGCGGACAGTCAAGCCACGCTGTGCAGAGGGGAAATTCTGAAATAACTACTTCATGGTGAACATACATATTTGATTCATCATTAGCTGATGGCTCCAATAAATAGACCTGCTTTACGCAATGAATTGACCAATTAGTAGCTGTTTTTATATGAATCCCAGTACAGCCAGGGAAAGTGCAGCGAAAAAATGCATTATCCCATGAATGTACATGCCTCAAGAAGATTGACTTCGTCATCTGTACGCGCACAAACAATGAGAGAGTCCATTGGTTTAATAGACAGGTCCTCAAGCTCTTCAGAGTCATCGTCATCCTGAGCAAAATGAAATCACATTAATAACTACTAAAGTAGCCACAATATCAAGGTTGAACCAGATAGAGCAAACTCACATCCTTATCCTTGAGGTAGGGATCCATGTCATTACTCGGGTAGTACAAGTCACCAAGTCCAGTGCTAAATAGCTCTACATCTGGCAGAAACCAGAACGAAATCCAGGTTCAACAAACCATTAATGTAGAACAGTTGGATAGAAAAGGTCCCTAACGATTCATTCATCAAACACCTTGTCATAATTTATTAGGACTATCAACCAATAAAATGTAATGAGAAGACTTTAGTGTGCACTCTTTTTTAATTTCAAACGAACTTAAAGAACTGGAAAGGTATAAATCCATGTTACAAGACTTTCAGAACAGGCGTGACCTGAGGCCTTTTAAGTCAGATTTCTACATTGTATGCATATTAAAATGCACACAACAGTCCTCCAATTAATTTGATTAATAAGTGGATCCAATTAATTCTCACTCAGGCTGTCCCTGCAGTTTTTCCAAAAGACAGGAGGACTTTTGGCGCTTGGTTGGTTCTCATAATTAGTTTGCTACTCACATGAGCCCATGTCCTGAAAACAAAGCAGGACGTGCATCTCTTATATTGTTCCATGTTTAACAAGATATGTATGATAATATAACTAATAGAGTATGGTTGGAAGCCAAGTCTTTACTCTCAGGAAAAATGATTCCCTTCCCCGTTATTCCGTCATCATGTTACAACCAGTCCAAAAGATATGGAAGCAAGCTTGGAACAGAAGCTCTCAGCATTTCCAATCATTAAAATCAATTAACGGAACAGCCTCTTAGATCCGGCTATGGGCAGAGCCTGACTTCTTCCTGGTGTCCTCCTCCCTTACCCTTCCATTAACGGGTCATCACCCAGTTTCATTCATAGTTTGCCTCCACGTTTAGCGTGATCAGCAGATCAAAGGCACATTCAAAACCTTTAAAATCTAAATTTCTATGTGATTGTACATCCCTTCTCAACTATCCTACCATGTACTAAATTTTATGTCCATGTAACTTTCGCTGCTTCACATCCCAAGAAACTCTGTAATAAGCCAAGCTAGCTAGCTACTACCGCATCTCATGCAATATAGGAGAACCAGTGGAAAGGCAATATTGAGCCAAGTTCTCACACAGTGTGCAGTCTTTCCATTCCTAAACATGGAATTACAGATTACATTTTGTGAAAGATTACATTTTTCAATAAAGTTATCTTGACATTTTAAAAAGGATGGGAGTATTAAGATGGATTGGCATAAAATTAGCATGTTTTCCTTCAGATATTCTTTAGGGTTAATACCACCAAAAACCCCAAACTATGCCCACTGTGACACAACTACCACATACTTTTTTTTTGTGTCACTAAAATCCCTGAACTAGTCCACTGTGACACAAATACCCCAAACTTTTTGTTGTGTCATAAAAAATCTTGAATTTATACCAATGTGATAAATATATCCCGGATGAAACTTTAATAGAGGGTATATATGTCACATATGTAAAGTTTGGGTTTTTCGTGACACAAAAATAAGTTGGGGATATTTGTGTCACATTGGCCAAGTTTTGGGTTTTTGTTGAAACAAAAAAAAAGTTAGGAGTATTTGTGTCACAGTGGGTATAGTCTGGTGTTCTATATGGTATTTGCGCTATTCTTTAACAGTTTCTTTTCTGTGGCAAGCAATTCAAAATAGGCTTGCCTAGAACAGTAAGATGCTAGAGCCCAGTCATTTCTTTCATCCTTCTTTAGTTTTCTGTGGTGGTGTTGTTGAAACAAGCGACATGTTATACTTGCCTATTAGCAAGCAGATTTAGCAGCATCCATTGGCTTTATTAAGCATGATAAGTGGGGTGTAAAATGTTGAAATTCAATTGGCTCAAAAGGTCTTTGACATAGACAGCTCTTCCTTCTTTGCTCTTAAAGTTGGCTTAGAAAGCACATCTAGACTATGTTCAGATTTCTCATACTACGAAGATTCATGATATGTCCATTACTTGTTCTGTTAAGTTTGGCTGGCTCCTGTTAGTGATTTTAAGAGGAAGACTGACATGCCATTATAATGAGTCCTTGTGTATTAGGTGGGGCATTCGCATACAATCCATTCTGATGCTACTTTTTGGGAATCCAAGTAGGAATTAGCCATCCAACTTCCCTTGGATGAACTAAGAAACTTACTTGTAATGAAAAAATAAGATTAGAGGACCCACAGAAAGGAACATACCTTCATCTTCTTCATCATAATTATCCATATCAAGCTCCCTCAAACCATCAGTTATATCCTCAAAACCAGATCCAACTTTTGTCACCTTGGAACTTCTCCCAAGTGCATCAGCGGCAGATAATGCAGTGGAAACTTCATCAGCCTTTTCTGAAGCAACCGCATCCATGTTTTCATCATCCTCCTCGCCGTCAATATCTCCACTGCACGAAAATCAAGCACAAGCTATAACAACAGAATATGTGTAATCATAGATTCTCTCTAGACAATTTCACTGAAGCAAACAAAACTATCTCTCTTGATAAGCTCCTCAAAATTCATTAGCAGCATTAAACCAGAAGGAAAGAAAATGCACAGACAATCTCCATCAACTCTATCATAGTAATTTTTCCCTCAATGCTCTTGGAAATGTATGCACTTCTTACATGCCCAAATAGACAAACCCTTATTCTATCTTAATTGACTAATATAATATACATAAACAGCTTTCTTAGGCACTACTTGCTAATTCCCAATACTCCAATTCCAATGCACTTTTCTTGGTCACTGATTTAACTTCATTTCGCCACAAACAACCAAGAATCGGTCCACCTTAAAGGACATTATAGACCTGAACAGATAGTTCAAGAACTTAACCAGACACACATGGACCAAACTTCACATTAGTCATTAGAACCATCACGCATTCGGCTCACTAAAATCATACAAAGAGTGACCATTTCTTTAATAATCATTTAGGTCGCTAGAAAGGGTATGAACACAAGGCCAAACACACTTAAAAAGAGAGACTTTTCTTTACCTTATTTCCACAACTCCACTCTTCAAAATCTCTTCAATTTCCTCCTTGGAAGGCTGTTCGGCCACATCGGGGACCGCCTTTGAAGCCCCTCTAGGGACCCAGGATATCGCTGCTATCATCCCTTCAAAAGACAAATTACCTGAATTCAATATACAGAGCACCTTGCAGAAGACGGGAACTCTACCAGCGAAGAGTCTAATGTGGAATTCAAAGGAGAAGAAGAAGAAGAAGAGCCAAAGAAGCGAGGTTTTAGCTCTTCTTTGCACCGGGTCGCGAGCTACTTTTCCCAGATCCGCTCCTCGGCGAAGATAGGTTTAGAGAATTACCCAAAGAGACGCGCCATAATGACCTATCAATTTAGGTGTGAGCTCTCCCAAGCCCATGCATCACGTGACATTGGACATTCAATTTTTAATGTTCTCTAACAACCTAATAATTCTAGGAGTCGTCACTAGCCTATTGGGGTCGGCTAGAAACCAATCGAACCGCGGGAGTGTTGTCTCAATTTCTACGCAACCAAATATTCTAGGGTCGAGAACTTGTTTACGCTAACATTTCTATTACGCCCTTTTGGTACCTAACTTGAGAGTGCGTTATCTAAGTGGCCACGCGATCTTGATTACAAGTTATGATCCTAAGGTATCAAAGCCGCTAAGTGATCATACAAATGTTTTTGTAGGGCTCATTTATATTAAAGTCTAAACTAACCCTAACCTATTTTAGGAAAGCGGTAAACAACCAATTTATTGAAAGACAGTGCGGTAAATAAAGACCCAAGTATTGAAAGCAGCTAAGTATCGGTACGGAAAGTAAACACCCAATACGAGTCGGGGCAAAGAATACAGATGGTCACATTACAAGTCTTGAGACATGATCCCTCGGAAGCTTGAAGCTAGAGACTTAGAAACTATCAAAGGTGATCCTAGTTCTAATCATTTTCATTAAAAGAGAGGCTACACTAAGCTACCCTAACATTTATTTTGAAAGTGAAGCTAAGTCTAAATTGATTTTATCAACTATAGCGTAAACTAATTAAAACCTAAGTTCCCCAATTAACTAGACTAATAAGAACTAAACTAAAATTATCATACAAGGATTAAGACCAGTATGGACATTGTTTTCGATTGGCCAATTCCTCCATGGACGCCACCATTGAACACCTCTCATGATGTCAATTCGCACACAAGTCACCCATTCATTCAAACAAAACAATCAAGCAAAATTCATCCAATCAAACACAAAGTGGCCCTAGGGTGGACCTCTGATCTCATGCAACTCAATTTTCCCAAGCCACCTCCTAAATTGACTAATGATTCGGAGAGTGGAATTACTGATTAATAGCCTACGCTTGCATGCATGACACGTAAAGCTATCGTCATTAATCCCCTAATATCTAGTCATCCTTCTAATCTACCCGCCAAAAAACAAGCATTAAAATTAGAGCTTGTGCATCTATACACTCACATACGTAATCAAATACGTGAACTAAACACATGAACAACATGCAAACAAGCAAGCCTCTAATTACACTAAAAAGACAAGACACGACACTTCCTAACTAAATTTCTAATTTTCTAATTAATTTTCTAAATTTTTTTAAATAATAATTTTCTATTCCGAAAATAAGGACCCAGGCAGGGCCCCTGGGATCCAGTCCGAATATGGGCTGCGATGGACTCTCGGGTCAGGCCGTGGACACAAAATTGGGCTCTATTACATCAAACCCCTTTTAGCAATAAGCCCAACTCATTAAAGAACAATATTCAGCCCAAACCTATCCATACTAAGCCAAGCCAAAACTTTCAAGATCAAACCAGCCTATATTTACTAAACTAAGGCTAAGCCCAACACCCTATAACCCTTCTAATAGAAGAAAGCCCAGAATTCCTAATGCTCTTTCTTCTCTCATTCTTTCCTCTACGCCCCTCTCCACCATTCCCCTCTCTCACGTTCAGGTCCACCTCTTCTACCCAAGCAAACCAATGGACGAGAAAACAACGCTTGACACTTCACAGTGAATCAAAATGTAACCTTCAATAAACTTCCATTGTCAGCTGCCATATCGGGGCACCATTGTCGTCCATCGACCATTCAAGATTCGCAAAATACAGTCACGACGTGACTGGAGCAAACGTGGCATCTAAAGAAACTCCATAGACAAATCGGTATGGCCCCATTGAGGAATCAACAGAAGGCCTTTGCTTCACCAACACACCTCATCGTTTACCACAAGCATACATACGGTAAACAACAAAAAAAACAGAGAAGAGGGTGGGCAGAAATATTCAGGGTAGCCACGAATCGTACTAAAACTTCAACACACCAGTTCACCAAACGAGCATTAGTATATGGAACAGAACAGGACAAGCTGGGATTTGGACAAAAATGGAGATTAGTGCCATGTGACTCCTACTGATACGCGAGCCAAAATAAGAGGAAGGTGCTTGCGAAATATGTTTAAACATTTCAGCAAACAGGTGGTCGGCATGCATTGAGAAGAAGGTATTGACCACTTTTAGAACCCGAACTCAGGTCTGGACTCAAAAGAAATCTTCACAATACGACCGAAATCAACCACAACAGCTAGCTCAAACTCAGTATGCATATGGACTTAAAAGAACGAGTCTCAGCTTCGCTTGGGCCAAAACAGGTCGGCTCATGGGAATGAACGTTCAATGGAGGAAACATAGCATGTAGCTAACAGAATACAAAGATGTGGTAACGTCATAACTCATGAAAAACAAGCCTAACAACTAATGACCGGATGAGCCGCGCCCATACATGCCTTTGGATTCGAACAGCAACAAAAGTCATCTTTCTTACACTTCTCAGAAACATTTCATCGAGCAAGTCTCGCACATTTGACTAAAAGTGATATGGCACTCCGATGAACCGACACTCTGGTGTCGAGTTCATCCTACATCAGTCAGAGAGGCCCTCATAGTTGATTAAAACACTTCTAACAGATCCAAGATATGCTTTCACAAAACCAAACAAATTCTCGTTCTCGTTTTCAGAAGAACATTAACTGAGGCATTACATCAAACATGTGGTGAGCACGGATAAAGGAGGAGGTAGTGATCCTTCTAGAACTCTAAACCACTCCTAAACCCAAAGAATCATCAGAGAATGCTCGACATCAAAGTAATCAACCCAATACGACACAAAACACTCAAAAACCCGTGAAACCGAGCTTGGCTCAGGCAGAGCAGGGTGAACCAAAAAGGCGCGTGGGATGAGCATGTAATCTCGGGGACCCGGCACGGCGGCGGCGAATAGGGGCGAACTCGACAAATCGATGGCACGCCACCGAGCCGGAATCCTCACTAAATCGACCCCAAATCGGAAAAATAGAAAAACGACGGAAAACTTGAAACCGAGACCTACCGGAGCTTGGCGCGGGAAAAGGGGCGACGTCGGTGGGTTGTCGGCTGCGGAGCAGGCCCGGCGGTCACCGGAGGAACTCCGTTCTTTCCGTTCCCGGTCGTCCCCCCGCTCTCTCTCGGCAAAATTGGGTGTCAGCAGACCGCAAACGCCGCCACCGCCACGAGGGTTTAGTTCATGCGGCGGGCGAAGGTTGTAATAAACCGACCGGACGTCGAACCGGTCTCTATGCTTGTTGTTGTCGGCTCAACCGGACAGGCGCAAACCGGTTCGGCGGTGACTCGCCGAAGAGAACGAGCAAGGAGTTGAGAGAAGAGACGCAATGGGCAGAGGTGGAAATAGGGTTTTCAGTTTAATAACGTTGAAAATAAAATAAAATAAAAACTCAGCACTTGTATAGGTTTTTTTTTTTTTTTTTGTAACCGAGGATCCGCCACCATTCTCCGGGGACGAGCCCGCACAGGTAATCGGGGCGCCTATACCTCGGGGGAGACTAGCCCAACAACCCACCGCCAAGGCCCCCCACTTAAATTACGGAACCGAGCGGAGATTCGAACCCAGAACCTCTCTGAGGGAAGGAAAGCGCCCACCAACTCAGCACTTGTATAGTTAAGCATGATTAAGTTCAATAATCCTAATTAGCATTTGAGGTTCAATTAAGTTAAACCAAAAAGTCCGCCCTGGACAGCGGGCATCAGCGGCATGTAAGCGTGCACCACAAAATCGGACGAGAGAGTATCCCATCGAACGCTCCGTGATCATGGAAAGTGTCGATAAAGACTTCCTTTCTCTCGTTAGCGTGATTGGTAGTGCTATTGAGAATTATAAGACAATGAATGGCAATTTCAAGAGTCGGGAACTATCTGTTGAATTATCATATTATTTCAATTTCTTACAATTTATCCTTTCTAATTATTTGGCATTTATTTCGTAATTAAACAAACTTGAGTTATTTGCGGCCACATAGTCGGCGGCGGCGGCGGCGGTGATGGCAGTGGAAGAGCTAAAAGTTAAACCTACAAGTGCAAAAGAGGACAGTTTCAAAATGTTGGATGGAACCTTCTATATAGAAAAGACTTGCTATTACATCTCTGGTTAATTATCCACAGATTGGCAACGTTTCTTCAAGATGCAATGTCTCGGACAATCGGTGATGTCTTCGGTGATGGTCCCTTGGTAGCTATCGTCGTTGTCGCCACCAGATCGTTGACGTGGGGAGCCATCCGCTTGTCGAGCCATTTTCTGGAGGTTGTTGCTAACTGTCGGGTCAGCCAGAGGTGGCCACGAGCCGGTTTTGGCCCGGAACCGGAACCGGAACCGGCCCGGTCAAACCCGGGCCCGCGGTTCGGAACCGGAACCGGCCCGTGGCATACGGTCCCGGTTCCGGTTCCAGAAAAATTTGAAACGGCCCGGAACCGCCGGTTCTGCGAAAAAAAAATTTAAAAAAAAAAAAAAACGCAGGCTACGGCCACGGCTGCGGTGCGGCCATCTTTGCGGCTGCGGCGCCTGCTCGGAGAGAACGGGCCAACGGCCCAACCAAAAAAAAAAAAAAAAATTTATCCGCAGCACCTTGCGGCCCGTTGGGGCAACGGCTACGCCCCAACGGGCGTTTTTATAATAAAAAAAAAACACATAACCGTTGCAATTTTGCAACGGTTATGTTTTATTTTTTTTAATTCTAAATTTTCTTCTATTTTTTTTCTATAAATTCTCTCAAATTCTCACAATACACACACAATTCTCTCAAATTCTCTCCAATTCTCTTCTCTCAAGTCTCAAATTTTCTCAATACTCGAAATTCTCTCAAATTCTCTGAAATTCTCTCAATTTTCTCAATCCACGCAATTCTTTCTTAATTCTCCCAATTAATCCGCTCAATTCTCTCAATCCATTCGAAAAATGGCAAGTGGAAGTCAAGTGCCAACTGGCAAAGGTAAGAATATCGCGACGGAATCCCATCATTCTTTTGATCCTCGTGAATATACAGATTTTCAAGATGATGAAATCAACATTTTTCACGATGTGGAGTGCGTCCCGACGCAAGAAAGTTTTCATCCTCCTGCTGAAATATCTACAACAAAGGAAGCGGAACGGGAATTTACATCCGACATTTGGAATCACTTCACGAAAATGGAAAGGTTTGATATCGGTCAAAAAAGGTATGATATAATTTGTAAATATTGTCGAAAAATATATAAATATACAGGTGGACAAGGATATGGAACATTTAAACGACATCTTATGAGCAAACATCCAACCGAAACGGGAATCGATATCGGGCAACAACAAATTTCCGGGTACGTCAATCCTAACACTTCCCCTTTATTTCGTTTTAATGAAAAAACTTATAAGGAAGAATTAGGCAAATTTATTTCCGTTGAGCATTTAGCATTTAATTTTGGAGAAAGATTTGGTTTTAATGAATTTGTACAAAAAGCATGTGCTCCACAAGCAAAACGTGTTTCTAGAAATACAACTAAACGAGTAATTAAAGATCTTTACAAAAATGGAAAAAATGATTTACAAAACTTTTTTATGCAATTTAATGGATGCGTGCATATAGGTAGTGATATTTGGAGTGATCATTGGCAAAATCATTCTTACATGGGCATAACATGTCATTGGATAGATGACGAGTGGACTATTCAAAAAAGAGTTATTGCATTTAAAGTTTTCGATGATCATCATACGGCAAATAATATTTATAGACTAATTAGGCAAGTTTTAGAAGAATATTATTTGCTTAACAAAATTTTTTCAATTGGTTTTGATAATGCCGCAGCAAATGCCGCTTCAATTGCCGAGTTAGAAAATATTTGTAAACCCGCTTTTGGCGGAAAATTTTTTCACATTAGATGTGCTTGTTATGTTTTAAATTTATGTGTACAAGATGGTTTGAAAACTCTTGATATTTTTCTTCAACCAATAAAAACGGCGATTCAATTTTTATGGAAACATCCCAAAAAAATGAAAGAATGGGGTAGATTTTGTAGAGATAATGGCAAAAAGCCAAAAAGATTTCCAAGAGATGTTCCAACTCGTTGGAATTCTACTTTCCACTTGCTTAGTGAATCTTTAGCATATAAAGATTTATTATGTGCATTCATTTCTAATAATATACCTGAGATTAATTTATACCCACAAGAGTGGCATATTTGCCAAAAAATTTTAGATCTTTTAAAGGTTTTTAATGATGCAACTTATACTTTGTCTGGTGTTTATTATCCTACTACACATTTATTTTTAGTAGAGTGTACTAATATTGTCGGAACTTTTGATGAATATGAAAATGATGTTGAATTACAACATACTATAGTTGCAATGAAAATGAAATGGCTTCATTATTATAGTGAAATTCCCATGATTTATTTAGTTGCTTGTGTTTTTTATCCGCGTTGCAAATTGGATGGCTTAAATGATTTTTTGCGTGCGTATTATCAATGTTTACATTATGATGTGACAAATGTTACAACCATAGTACGTGAGGTTAAAAACGTAGTAATAGAATTATATAATGAATTTTATACTAAATATAATTTAGGTGATATTAGATCTTCTCAATCTACGGAGATACAAAATGACAGTACAGGTAAAATTAGTAGAGGGTACTAACTTTTATTACATAGACAAAAAAAACAAAATGGAGTAATAGGAAATATTTCTGAATTAGAGAGTTATCTAACCATTTTATTTGAGTTTACTGAAGCCGAATGTGGTACAGATTTTTTTATTTTGGATTGGTGGAAGAGGCACGCAAGCCAATACCCAATCCTTTCTCTTATTGCAAAACAGATTTTTTCAACCCCTTGTTCCACAGTTGCGGTCGAACAAGCATTCAGTGCCGGAGGTAATATTTTGAACGAACATCATTCAAGATTAGATCCAGAATCAGTGGAGATGCAAGCTTGTGTTGCTGATTGGACGAAGGCTCAATACCGGCAACAAGAGATAGATCGGAATAATGAATCCGAATTCTTTAACGACGGAGATACTACCGCTACCACTATCGGTACTGGAACGGGTAGTGACGATTGAGGGTAAAAGAACTATTGGAGTTGGCAAATATTTCGGGAACTCTTGTTTCTCATACCGGGTACGCCCACGTGAGCTTAGGGAAACCGAAATATAATACGACGATATGTGACCTCTGGTCCCCTGCGCACGGAATGCTTAGGTTTTGGGATAATTTTAGGGTATATATATTGTACTCCTTTTTTTTTAAGATCGTTGTAACGAATTGTAATGTGCTTAATGATAATTTATTAAGTTGAAGCCCTCTCTTTCTCTCTTGTCTTTTTGTCCCCAAATTTGAGTACAATTTACATTGTAATCACAATTTATATTGAATAATGTTCTATCACAAGAATAGTATTTTTTTTAATTTTTTTTATTTTCATTTCTGTTTTTCCTTTTCTATTTTTCTTCTTTTTCTTTTCCTTTTCCTTTTCTGTTTTTCCTTTTTCTCTTTTGTCTTTTTTCCTTGTTTCTGTTTTTTAAAATTATAATTTATATTTTATTTTTTTTTCTTCCTCCGCGGCCGCCGGCCGGCCATGGCCAGGGCCGGCGCGATGGTCGCCGACGTCGGGCGAGGGGCCCTCGCCGGCGTCGGGCGAGGGCGGCCCTCGCTGGGCCAGGCGAGGCCGGCCTCGCTGACGCCCGGCGAGGCGGCGGGCTCGGCCTCGCACACCGCAGGCGAGGCTCGACCTCGCCGGCGTCGGCGAGGCCGGCCCTCGCCTAGGCTGGGCAAGGCCGGCCTCGCCCAACGCCGGCAAGGCTCGGCCTCGCACACCCGCAGCGAGGCTCGACCTCGCCGGCGTCGGGCAAGGCCGACCTCGCCCGGCCCGGGCGAGGGCCGGCCTCGCCTGACGCCGGCGAGGGCCGCCTCGCCTAGAGGCCGGCGATCTCCGCGCCGGCCCCGGCTATGGTCGGCCGCAGAGGAAGAAAAAAAAAAGAAAAGGAAAAGGAAAAGAAAAAAAACAGAAAAAAATAGGAACCGGCCCGGAACCGGACGGTTCCGGTTCACACTTGGCCACGAACCGGAACCGGTCGGTTCCGAACCGTGGCCACCTCTAGGTCAGGGCCACTTTCACGAGTCAAAGGCCTAACTTAACTAATTAATAGGCTTGAAATTTATTTTATGGACCTCTAAGTAGAAGGGTCTCGGCACTTGTACCGCCAGCTTATAAAGAAAAGTAGTGAAACATGATATTTTATCTAACTGAACGTTTCTAAATAAAGTGCAGTTGTTTA